ATGTATCCGTACGGGCGGTCGAGCAGCCAGAGGGTGCTCCGGGGGGTGGACCTGCTGCTGGAGTGCATCGCCTCGGGGGTGTAGGTACCGCGGCCGGGCCGGGAGCAGCCTCTGCCCAGCAACGGGGCATCCCTCCCTGTTCCTCTGATGGCTGCTGATTATTCTCGTGTCACCCACTTAGAGGGTGGGGGCTAAGAGCTTGCCAGCAAACAGGAGAGCTGAGTTTTGCAGCAGGGTGCTGAGGAGCGAGTTTTTTTGCTTGCTGGCAAAATCCATGGGTAATTCCACGGTGATTTATCCTCAGAGGCGCTTGCAAATTCCCTAGGTGCCTCTTGCAGCGCTGAGTAAGTGGTGGGTGGTGGCACTCATGGGCTGAGGGCTGCGGTGGTGCCCTGGGCAGGGGACAGAGCTGGTCACAGCATCGAACACAAGACATGAGACTAAATCCATTGCTGCTCCGCTAGCAACGCCCGGGGTTGCAGCAGGGCTGGGGTGGCAGAGGCTGTCCCAGCTGTTCCATCAGCCCTTCTCCATGGATCAGGCATTGTTTTCTTAGGAAAGTTTCTCTCCTCTTGCAAGGACATTTATTTCCTCCCCTCTCCTCAGACCAGCGCCAGACATCATGTGGTACAAGAAGGGAGGAGAGCTCCCGGCGGGCAAAACCAAGCTGGAAAACTTCAACAAGGCCCTTCGCATCTCCAACGTCTCCGAGGAGGACTCCGGCGAGTACTTCTGCCTGGCGTCCAACAAGATGGGCAGCATCCGGCACACCATCTCCGTGAGGGTGAAGGGTACGTCCTCCCGCCTTGCTCCCTGCCAGACAGCAGGGAAAAGGGGAATTCCGCTCATCCCAGACCCAGCTGCTTTGCCGGCATAGGAGGGTGGCAGAGAAAGCACTTTTATACCAGGAAACGCTCTCTCCCGCTTCAGTCAGCATTAGGAATGTGATGCTACCTTTATAATTGGTACCTTTATTTATTTTAAAGCTGCTCCGTATTGGTTGGATGAGCCACAAAACCTGATTTTGGCCCCTGGAGAGGACGGCAGGCTGGTGTGTCGAGCCAATGGGAACCCCAAACCTACAATACAGTGGCTGGTGAACGGCGAGCCCGTAGAAGGTAGGTGAGGACATGTACAGCCCCAAGCACCTACACGGCCTCCCCGGCTACCCACCGAGCAGCCAGGGAGGAGAAACGGGTTGAAAGAAAAGGGAACACCCCAACAAGAAAAGGGAACACCCCAAATTCTTGCTCTGACACCTTGCAGATGTTTTAAAATGACCATATTTGTGGGAAAGGTCTGGTCTTCTTCATGGCAAGGTGGCCAAGGCTTCAGTGTCTGAATGTGGCAGCCAGAGCTGTTGTGGGGTACCAGGGACCCCACTGCTGTGTGTTTGCTGTGTCCTGCAGCACCCAAACCATCTGCTTTGGGATGAGGCCAGATGAAACACTTCTTTATAGTCAGAGCAGCTCGTGGGTGCTTGTTTTTAGCTAGGCTGAGAAGGAAAGACATCTCACAGAAGTTAGAGCCCTGGAAATTTTCATTTTCTGCTAAAGAGTCTTCTCTGTCTCGTGCGTTTTCCAGCTTCTCCCCCCAACCCGAGCCGTGAAGTGGCTGGAGACACCATCGTGTTTCGGGACACGCAGATCGGCAGCAGCGCCGTGTACCAGTGCAACGCGTCCAACGAGCACGGCTACCTCCTCGCCAACGCCTTCGTCAGCGTCCTGGGTAAGCGGACACGCATGGACAAGGAGCCCTCTCAAAGGCCAGCCCAGAAGTGACCGTAAGAAGCCAGGAGACACTTTGGCTGCAAAACGGTGCCTCCTTTTACGCCCATGGGAGATGAACACCTCGCCTATACTCAAGTTTTCCTTGCAAGCTTTCCCAATTTGCCTTTCTGCTTGTTGTTAGCTATTCTGAGACCAGTATACATAGCCTTATGAGCTGTGCATTGGGCTTTGGATCTCAAGTCCATGGTCGTAGTCCTGCCAAGTCTGCAACAGACCCTCTGCTGCAGCAGGCTTAAAGGTCACACATTCAAAGCCCAGCAAGGGTCAGCACATACTATTGATGCTAAGGCATAAGCTGTCTCATGTACTGAGGCTAGAAAGGGAAGGAAAGATGAAAAAGAACAGAGAACCTCTACAAAGACCTGATGGGGTGAACAAAGACCACGGATAGGAAAGAAAAAGGGAGGGTGGATGAAAAGACTGAAAATGCCGTATTATTCTAGGTCCTGCTTTGTTTTATTTTTCAATGACTGCAATTTTTGCTGTTGCAGATGTGCCCCCACGGATATTAGCTCCTCGCAATCAGCTGATCAAAGTCATTCAGTACAACAGGACCCGCCTCGACTGCCCCTTCTTTGGCTCCCCGATCCCCACGCTCAGATGGTAAGAACAGCAGCGCTTTGGCCCACTGCAGAGGGGGCAGGACGGTGCAGTTTCCTGCTGTTTCTTCCCTTACAAATAGCACTTTGTATTGTTGTGAGGTTTAAGAACGGCCAGGGAAACACTCTGGATGGAGGAAACTACAAGGCGCATGAAAACGGGAGCTTGGAGATGAACATGGCTCGGAAAGAGGACCAGGGCATCTACACTTGTGTCGCCACCAACATCCTGGGTAAAGCAGAGGCCCAGGTTCGCCTGGAGGTCAAAGGTAGGACCATTAGGTCTGGATAAAAGACTCTTGTCTGGTTTGAAAGTAACAGCATGAAAAATCACCTATGTAGGGTTAATCATGCACACTCGGTCTGTCAAAAGGACAGGCACTATCAACTCTGGAGCTTGGAATATAGAAAATGTCAGTGTGAACCAAAAGCCTGTTCTGCAGACCAACTTCCCTGCAAACTTTTGTATCAGAGACAAGGGACTCTGGGGAACGGGACAAGCTTCTATCATTTCATGTCTCTTCCAAGCCCTTGGCTGTGGTCCCCAGCAGAGCTGCCACAGTTTGGCAATGAATGCTCCTTTTTGTCCACACAGATCCCACGAGGATTGTGAGAGGACCAGAAGATCAAGTGGTGAAGAGGGGCTCCATGCCTCGCCTGCACTGCCGGGTAAAGCACGACCCTACGTTGAAGCTCACAGTCACCTGGCTGAAAGATGATGCTCCGCTTTACATTGGAAATAGGTAACGGTTTCATACATCTCCTAAGCTCTTACAGCTTCTTACTTGCCCTCTGTTGAACATTTCAGGAGTCACCAGGGATAGTTTAGGTAAATACAGAGTTCCCATGTAGGAAATATTTCTTGTTAGCTTCTTTGAACAGAGCCTGACTAGCAAATTCCTAGCAGTAAATCAAGACTTTCTGCTCAGGTTTTATTTGCAAATATTTTAGAACATCTTGATAAAATAGATGGGTTAATAACAAACTACTTCAAAATTAAAGTTTATCTGTTGTAAGCGGTACAGTTGTAATTTCCTTTCCATGGTGTGACTCTCTGCTCATGAAATGAGATTTGATCATGGGACACAAGTGAGTCCAAAGTCAGACTGCCTTCCTAGACGGGTGATTATTTTCAGCTAGATGCCAGAGCAGATTTTCCAATTTCTTAGGAAATTAAGTTTCCAAGAATAACACAATACATCTTTGGCTGATAAAATCTTCAGACTAGAGACATATTCTCATTCTGTTTGAGGTGGGGTTTTTGGCGGGGGACACGCTTTATCAGAGAACAGTTAGACACAAATTCTTCAGTGTAACGCTGTTATGCAAAGCTATGTAATAATTGTGTTTTTTTTTTCCCTTAAGGATGAAGAAAGAAGATGATGGTCTGACAATACATGGTGTGGCTGAAAAGGATCAAGGCGACTACACCTGTGTAGCTAGTACTGAGCTGGACAAGGATTCTGCTAAAGCTTACCTGACTGTACTAGGTAACGTTCCTCCAGTTTGCTGACACAAAGTGCTTTGTTTTTAACGCACCAGACTGACTTCAGAACCAAGGTCAGTTTGGGAAAGAGGCATTTGTAATCACAGAAGTGTCCTCTAAAGCAGGGATGCTCAGCAAGATGATGGCAGAGTAATTGTCCAGTTTCTGCAGGACTCAGCAAGCCATGCTGCCTGATCCCAAATTCACTCAAATGCTGGGGTTGAATTTGAGCCTACGGAAATCTGCATTTGAAATAAAAAACAAGTATTTAATACAGACAAAGGTATCCCATTCACAAAATGCCCTGTTCTGTCAGTGATGTTGGCTTAGATCCACAATGCGCCACCAAAGCAGAAGTGCAGTATGAATCCTTTGTCCCGAATAATTTGACTGGACTTGATTTCCCAACCTTCCTTTTCTCTTAATGACTAATTAACTCTATAGCAGGCTGGTGTTTCCCCTCTGCAGTGTACAAGAAGGTGTATAGAGAAGGGCTGCGGGTCTTTGGGTGAAGGATGTACTGACACTGATCCCCAAAAAGAATCAGTTCCTTCTGAAATCTGTAACTGTGTGTGTAGCTGTATATTTACCAGGTGCTCCTTTGACCATCCAAGCTTGATGACTTAACTAACACCATTAACAACCAATGTCTTACCTTGCAGCAATCCCTGCTAACCGTTTGAGAGACTTACCTAAAGGTAATCGGCACTAATTCATTTGGTTGATTTTATTTTGTAAATTGGTTTTGTTTTGCCTTGCCAACAACTCCAACAGAAAACCTAGGTGTAGCTGTTTGGAAAACCTGGGAGATGATGCTTCCAGGCTGTGTGCAGCTTGTCCTTGAAAGCCAATCCAGATGGCCATGGGTAGAAAGATCCGGTGACACATTGTTTTGTGTGCCACAGTGCTGACTCTTGAGTGCAAGAATCACCTTACCCATGCCTGGAAATGGTGAGGAAAAGATAAAACACTGAATCTCTTCACCTCACCCAGGAAGAAGGGGTTAAGGCTACTGTTATTGCATGAGCTGGGTCTATGAGAGCACATAGTTTGTGACAAAATAAAGAAATCAGAGTTGTGCCCAGAGCATTTTTAACCAAGTATGTATCTTTATTTAGGCTTTCTGTCCTTACAGTTCTATCTTTTTGCATTTATTTCTTGAACAGTTACTTGTAGGGTTTTTTTAAGATCATCTATTCCCCTGCTGAGCCACTGTCATGATTCCACCGAATCAGATAACAGCAGTGTGCACCGACAGCAGGAAGGGATTTAAGGCACAGTTAGTCTGTGAGCATATTTAGATTTTAAATTGCCCTGGTCTACCAAGAACTGAAGGAGACTGCCAGTCAATGTCATGGGTGAAGAACTACAGCCCAAATGTTTTGGCCAAGACCATGTAGGCCAACTACAGACCATGTAGGCCAAGAGTGCCAGGGTTTTGGCATCCCTCGAGGAGGGATGAGGACTGGAACCCCCAGGTCCTGTCACAAGCTCAACCTAATTTCTGTTGTCACTCGGTCAACAGAACGACCTGACCGGCCCCGTGACTTGGAGCTGTCGGACCTGGCCGAAAGGAGCGTGCGGTTGACGTGGATACCTGGCGATGACAACAACAGCCCGATCACAGGTCAGCCTGCCCCCCCGGCCACATTCCTGCCTGATTTCTCCTGGCAGATGGAGGGAACACTTTCCTTGTGGGTGTCCCTTTGCATCCTCTCTCCCAGACTACATCGTTCAGTTTGAGGAGGACCGCTACCAGCCTGGCACCTGGCACAACCACTCCAGCTATCCCGGGAGTGTGAACTCGGCTGTCCTGAGCCTCTCTCCTTACGTCAACTACCAATTCCGGGTGATTGCCGTGAACGACGTGGGCAGCAGCCTGCCCAGCGTGCCCTCGGAGCGGTACCAGACCAACGGCGCGCGTGAGTACGCTTGGCCTTGACTATCTGGAAGGTCTTTTCCAACCAAAGTGGGTCTATGAGTACCAGGTCCCACCGGCCATGGTGGCATGGCTTTGAATTTAGCAGCTGGCCACCAAGCTCTGTGGTCTCCCTGTAGCACTGTGCTCTTCACTCACAATATACGATTACAGCCCCTATAACAAGAGCAGATTCACACGGGTGAGGGAATGAGCTGACCCATGCAGTCGTGGGCTATGATTGATGTTCTCAGAGCAGCAAAATTCAAAATGAAAGATTTATGCTAAGGTCATTCCAGTGGAACCTGTTAAAAGAAAGCTCAATTCTGCTGCTGGGTAAGCTTTCTAAAGGCAATCTTTCAGCATTTCTGACCACAGGAAGCTCCGAAGCCTCTCGGAAAATTAGAACCTCAATGTAAAGTGGCCAAAAGCAAAATACATTTTGTTCTAAAAATCACTAATTTATTGTCCACTGCTAGAACTGGCCAGAAGCCCAGATCAACACAGGAATAAAGAGCACTTCAGTCCCATGAGCAAGACTCAGGTCTTCAATCTGTGTGTCCAGTGCCTCATACATTGAGGAATACTTGGGAAAAGCGGTATAAGGAGTTTACAGAAAGTTTTGCAGTTTTGTTGCATTTCTCGGTTTAACTATTTTAAACACATTTGTCTAATATCTACTGGCAACTAGTGTTGGTTTTCAGTGTCCCTCTTCGTATCTCAGGAAACACATTTGTCTAATATCTACTGGCAGATCTACTGGCATCTAGTGTTGGTTTTTGATGCCCCTCTTCATATCTCAGATTTCATAAGCATAATATTCAGCTCCTAGGGCTGTTTCACAATGGGTGTCCCTTAAAGATTTAGGACAACATTTTGAGAGAAAAAAAAGAGGCTCCTAAATAAATGGCCTCATTTTCAAAAGTGCTGAGAATCTCATGTTCCATTAACCTGAATGGGACTTTAAAACTTCTGGAAAAATCAGGCCATTAGCTATTATCTTGGTGGTATTTTTGACTTGCGCAGTGAATGCTTTTTAGCCGCTCAAGTGGCCATTTCTCAGCATTATAAACTGCCTCTCCCCTTATCCCTCCATATGAATTTCAGGCCCTGAAATTAACCCAACGGGAGTTCAAGGAGCAGGAACCCAGCGAAACAACATGGAGATAACCTGGACGGTGAGTGGTTTTTGATGCAGATGATTAGGTGTAGAGAACAGCTTCTCTAGCATGTGTGATGTACCACATGGAATACCATAAATTGTAAAGTCATAAAGGAAATAAAGAGCATCCAAGAGACTAGCCACTTCCAGTGCCTACAAGAAGGCTCTGATAAAAACAATTTGTGCCAATGGAAGCCAAAGAGAAGATGCTAAATAACTGATACAGTTTAGGGAGGATGTTCACAGAGGCTGATTCCTTAAGCAGATGATATTCACATAGCAGCTCTTGCTTTATTTTATTTTTTTTTAAAATGGATCAGCAGGTATCCAGAAATAAGCCAAAGTCTGTAGGGAGAAGAGGAATTGCAGTGGGAGTCTGGACTTGAACACAGGGCACGGGGGGCATGGCTCTTGGTTCTGCCCTTGGTCTGGAGGGCAAGGAATAGGTATGTCTCACTGTGGGAACAAAAATATTGACCTTTGTCATCAGCTGATGGAGCATGAAATAAGAACCAGGTGCTGAAAAGAACTTCTTAGAGCCCGTCAGCAGAGAAGCACATTTGCTCTTTCCTCTCTCTCACAGTCTTCTTTTTTTGTTTTGATCTATGAAGCCTCTGAATGCAACTCAAGTTTATGGGCCCAACCTCAGGTATATCGTGAGATGGAGGCGAAGGGACCCCCGGGGGAGCTGGTACAACGAGACAGTGAAGACCCCACGGCATGTTGTCTGGAATACCCCCATCTACGTCCCCTACGAGATCAAAGTGCAGGCAGAGAACGACTTTGGCAGAGCACCGGAGCCTGACACGGTGATCGGCTACTCGGGGGAGGATTGTGAGTATCTTCTCAGCCAGAGCTTGGGTTTCAGGTAGGCGAGTGACCTCCAAGGTCAAGGGCTTGGGGCCTGTTCCTGGGAGATGCTCACAGTATTGCTTGATTTGGCACAAAAATCCGCTTCCAAGCACTGAAAGGAGGAGACTTGACCATTAGAGAGCTGCGTCTGCAGAGAGCTGTGTGACCCAAATCACTCACCTTGCCCTTGCTCTCTGCAAAACCCAAATATCACTTTTAATGTGGAAGACAGTAAGACTTCATTAAGGCACGTCCTGGCCTCGTACCAAAAACCCTCATTAAGATTTTGGCCTTTGACACTTGTGGAGCAGTAGCTGCATCTTAGATGACAGCTGCTGCACTTGGCCAAGAGGGCACTGAACTTGGTTCATCCTGGATTAGATTCTTGTACCTCTCTGATAAGGCCTGGTTGGGCTCCTGTTTGCACGCATACCCCCACTTTCTTTAAAATCTTCCCACCTTACCATGCAGAACAGTGTTTAATTCCCTTTCCTCTTCTTTCTGAGCTACTGATGATGTTGCTTTCCATTCCTGTAACATCCAGGGGTCTGATTTACACTCCCTATCTTATTAGGTTTTTCTGCAAACAGTTTTAAAGAAATACATTTTAGTTCCCTTCAACGCAGTCCAGCAGTGAGGGGGGTCTCCAGCTGGATGACTTTGGGATTACTGGGAAGTAAACTAAATAAGGCAGCTAACCATCCATGACTCCAGAGTTGAAGTCAAGGGGACACAAAAAGGGCACAGCTCTTCCAAGAAAATCTGCAAAGTGCTGAGATAGCACACACAGTGCAGCCACCACCCAAGCGTCTATCTCTGCACTGTCTGTGCACTATGAAGGATGTTTTTTTTCTGTTTTCCACTAAAAACTTTGAGTTTTGAGAGGATTCAAGCGAGCCTGTACATGTGTGCGCTTCATGGAGGTAATCCAGTGAGACCTGGTGGCCCTGTTATATTTCAGGAATAGCTCACAGACAGAAATATGGTTTCTCCTTCCTGTAGAAGCAGTGCTAAAAACACTAGTTGTCCTCAAGAGGAGCAGGGAGGCAAGCGGTTCCGCTGTGCTCGCTCCAGCAGGGTTGCAGCACGAATGTGCCCGTTGTTGCTGTTTTTATCAGCTTGGGAAATGCTCCGAACTGACTTTAAGCAGCGAGATGGGTGAACGGCTTCATTCCCGGGATTTGCCGGGCTCGGGATGCCGGCAGGTGGCAGAGCAGGCGCGCGCTCCGCTCCGGCGCGCTCCGAGACCCGGCCAAGGGCGGCGGGAGCGGAGGGCGCTGCTGCCTAACGATCCCTCTGCTTTATCCCTGGCCGCCCAGATCCCAAGGCTGCTCCGACGGACGTTAGGATACGGGTCTTGAACAGCACGGCCATAGCTCTCACGTGGACCCGCGTGCACCTGGACACCATCCAGGGCCAGCTCAAGGAATACCGAGTGAGCCACCCGCACCGACGGTGCTGCTATTAATCCTGCTAACCTCCTCACAAGCCCGAAATGGGGATGACAGAAAACTGTCCTCTGGCCATCCCGTCCCCAGCCTGGTGGATCGGAGCCCCAAGGGCTCCTGGTGTCACCCCGGGATGGCGCTGGGACCACGCGGAGCCGGCAGCGCCTCTGCTGCCGTTCCCACCTGGAACGCGGGCGGGATGGCAGCCACGGCACCTCGGATGGGTCCCAGCAGGCTGGTTGTTGTGTCATCCCCAAGGTTTCTACCGCCGGCTTTAACAAACACCAACTACTAAAAAGCCTAAACGCTGCAGTCCGTGCTAACAGCCCTGTGGATCTTGTTTCCCCACTTCTGGCATCACGTATTTAGAGCTAAGGTAAAATCCTGGTGTTTCTGTGCAGAGGAGAGAGGCTGTTAGAACAAGCAACAGCCTGGGCAGAGCCTTGGGTATTAGCTCTTGGTAGCCTTACCAGAGGTAAGACTTTATCAGCAAAACTCATGCCCTGAGAACAGTTATAATAGAGTTTAAACCCAAGAATCGGAGGTGCATAAAGTTAATTCCATGGGTATCGCTTTCCTTCCTCTGCCACTGCTCTATCATTCCAGTCTATTTTCTAAATTAATCTTATTTCTGCATGAAATAAGATTTACAGTCTGGGGCTTTGAATCCAAAGCTTTCCGCGTTCAGCCTTTCCATGGACATGTTGCACCTTTTCTTACACACAGCTGAGCTTCTAATCCAGGGAGAAAGGGCGAGACGTTGGGTGTCTAGAGGACTAGAAGCCAGAACCAGCTCTTTGAGCTTGGGCTTTGCTTCGGATTCACCCTGTGCCCCTTGGTGAGCACTTAACCTGTGTGTTAAGGCCTCAGCCTCCTCCTTGGGTAACCAACTGACCTGCTTTGCTGGGTGGTTGCGAAGCTTCATTAATTGCTCTAAATTCTGCAGCTGAAAAGCTGCTCTTTGAAAAAGCAGTGTCGCTCTGCTTTGTTAATGAAAAACGACTGCACTTTACTGGGAAAAGCTTCACTTGCCATGCATGTTTCTTGAAGGCCTATTTCTGGAGAGAGAGTAGTTTGCTGAAGAACCTGTGGGTCTCCAAAAAACGGCAGTATGTGAGTTTTCCTGGAGACCGAAACCGGGGCATAGTGTCCCGGCTGTTTCCTTACAGCAACTACAAACTTGAGATGGTTGTAAGCAACGGGAGAGGAGATGGGCCCCGCAGCGAAGTGAAGGAGTTCCCCACGCCAGAAGGAGGTACGTTCTCATGGCAGCGCTCCTGGGCACCTGGAAAAGGCTGGGAAAGGCATCGGGAAGCATCAGCTCTGCAAAGCGGGAGCTTTGACGCTCTGCAGAGCCCGCGCTAGGGATGAATGTTGCGCTGAACCCTGCTGTCACGAGGCGCTGCTGGCTGCCTCCGTCACCACGCGCAGTGACATCTCTGCAGCCACCTCTACAGCGCTGTCTGCAACTAAAATGCCCCCCCTCCAGGTATTTTTAACATACCAGCAAGTCCCTCTTAGGCGGAACGGGAGAAACGTTTGCAAAGTCTCTGCAGAGCCACAGCCCCGTGCCCTTGGTTTGCTGTGTGACCCGCAACGTCACTTCATGTCCCCGTGCTTCGGGCTGTGCAGTAGAACTGATGCCTCCGTCAGACCCTTGCAAGACCCTTGCAAGACCCAAGGCTCTTTGTTCTGAAAGGACAGCACTAATACTCCCTCCTCTCAGGCTTTTAAGGCGAGAGCACCTCGTTTTTCTGTTTAAAGGGCTTGTGTCAAGGATGAACTTGAGATTTTAATTTTCTTGCTGTCATAGGAGCTATTTATAGACACGCCGATAGCTTTTTGTTGGAGCTGCACTTTTGGTGGCTGACAATGAATCTGCTTTTAGCACAGCCGTTTTTGGCACAGTATGTCACAATTAAAATACAGGAGGAGAAAAAGGTAGAGGTTAAAGCCTGTCTCAGCTAACCCAGAATTATTATGGCGTCTTCTTCCTTCCCTTCCTCTTCGTTCCCTTCCAAGTTCTGCCCAAGTTCTCTTTTTTTTTCCTTAACTTCTCTTGGATATTATCACCATCTGCTTGGGATTTTTAAACAACCAGCTTGTTTAAGGAGAAAATTTTGCAAAACTGGGTCAATCAGGTACATCTTGACTTTGTTGCTTACCGCGTGTTAGAGGGATCTACCACTTGGGGTAGCTATATGCTTATATAGGTGACCTTGGTTGATACAATTAGAGCAGATAATATTGTTGTCATATGTATATATTCTTACATTCTTGTCATATCTAAACTGTTGATTTTTTTTCCCCATACTTGGAAACACTACACTTACACTTAACTTACTTAAGGACAGCTGCATGTTGGGACTTAAGAGACTGAAAAATATTCTGCAAAACCTCCATTTAGGGAAAAAAAAAAGGCAGTAATGTCTCAGATCAGAGAGGAATATGAGCCAGGTTCTTTCTCCAGTTAAAACACTGCAGTTATGTGTAGATCAAGAGCAGAATCTAATTCAAGGGTGCAGAGCATGAGATCCCCATTAGAGTTCTCTCAACATCAATAACAGCTCCTGATCATAGCACCCACTAAAGCATTTTGTACCTTTCCCATGGATAAATGGGAACCATTATCATGGGAAGCAGCTCACGCTGGTTCTACTAAACACAGAGAAACACAAACGGCCTCTGCTACACAGATAAAATAACTTGTTGTTCCAAAAACCCTGGATTGTTTGAGGCTCAAACCTCACCTCTGGGAACAGTTTGCTACTCTAGCTTTCGGTGCTGGGCAGAGCAACCCCAACTACTGAAAATCCAGAGATTTTCAGTACTGAAAATCCAGATACTGAAAATCTAGCTACTGAAAATCCAGATTTTCAGTATCTCAGAATCGGAGAGCCCTGCAGAGCCCTAGCACCTCTGCCAGGGTCACTAACGGGGCCGGTCGCTGGAGGGCAGTGGTACCCAGCAAGAGGACCCGCGCGCTGGACGCGGATGCTCCCGTGCGCCCTGCAGCGTGCGCGGGGCTGTATGTGCTGTTGGGAGGTATGTTATGTTTTATGTCTTGCCTTCTCTCCATCTCTTTCCTGATCCCGTCCTCCTCCCAAGTGCCCAGCTCCCCCAGGTATTTAAGGATCCGACAGCCTAATCTGGAAACCATCAATCTGGAATGGGATCATCCAGAGCATCCCAACGGCATCCTCACGGGATACAACCTTCGGTACCAAGCCTGTACGTTCCTCATGTTATCTTCTTGGTGGTAATTAAGTCATGAAATGTTCTCCTTGCTGCTGAGCTATGTCCTCACCTGTCACAGAAAGCTCTCCGTAAGGAATTGGAGGCTTTTGCCACAACATGAAGCAGCTGCTGGTGCTGGGGAGGACCCTGGAGCAGGACAGGGCAGCTGCAAGTTGCAGTTGGGCCAGCAAGGGTTGGGGTGCTCTGCATTTCTCAGGACTCACCCCTTGAGGATGGACTCGAGGATCTCGAAGGGCTTTTCCAACCGTAATGATTCTATGAACCACCCGTAGATGCCCCAGCTAGGAAGTCACCAATGGCCCTACACAGTGTTCCAGCACTGGTGCCTATAGCTTGCAGAGTCCCCATGAGCCACGCATGAGTGTCAGGGCCTGCCCCAGGGGAGAGGTGACAGGCAGAGAGCAGAGCACATTTCTGAACCAAAGCTGAAGCCACCGTGGCCTCCCTTTCCTCCGCAGTTAACGGGTCCAAAACGGGCCGAACGCTGGTGGAGAACCTCTCCCCCAACCAGACGAGGTTCACCCTGCAGAGGACCGACCCCATCTCGCGCTACCGATTCTTCCTGCGCGCGAGGACCCAGGTGGGAGACGGGGAAACCCTCGTGGAGGAGTCGCCGGCGCTGCTCAATGAAGGTAGGTGCAGCGGCCGCGCGGCGCGAGCGCATGCGGAGCAACCCGGGCACGAGGGGCCCCGCTCCGTGACGCCCCTCCAGCTCACCCTGCCCCAAGGAGGTGACAGTGGCACCCGGCAGGGTGCAGAGCCGCTTCCCAAGGGTGATCCCATGCGGCCAAGCCGGGCTCAGGCTCCTAATAAGCTGCAAGGCCCTGGGGAGCCTTCGTGGAGCTGAGTGCGAGGCCGGGAGCCCCGAGGCGGAGGCAGAGCCGGCGCTCCCCTTTCCTGAGCGTCTGCTGGAAGAGCTGTGATTTAGTTAGTGCTCTGATTTAATGGATTTGTTGGTCCCTCTTCCTCCATCTCCCCCTCCCCAACTAATACCCTGAGTAGGAAAAGCAATTCCTACTGCTGCCCCGAGGGAAGTGACCCGCTCCCTGTGTCCGAGGTGGGCTCCGGTGTCACTAACGGATGAGGCAGGAACGGAGCGGTGGGATCAGGGGCTGCATGTGCCAAAAAAAAAGCAGTGTTCTGCCAGGATGCTCGGCACGGCATTGCCATGAGGAAGGAGCCTTCCCCAACAAGCTGCTCGCAGCGCTGGGATCCGGCTTTAAGCGCTACTGTCGATGCTCCGCATTTCCATGTTTCCTATATGTTTGCTTTACTGCGTGTGTTTCTGTACGCTGAAAACGGTGGCTAGTAGGAGAGCAGAGCTAAATAACAGCATTAATGAACAGCTCTGGTGTCTTAACTGATCGCTATGAGAAAACAGCAGGTTCAGGCCGTGCCGCCAGGACGAGGTAGGTGCCCACGGCACGGGAGCGCAGCAAGAGGCAGAGCAGGGCTCCGCTCGGGGCAGATCCACCCCGGCGGCACCGAGGAGAAATCCAGAGCATCCCTGAGCTCCCTGCTACCTCGCCGGCCGGCGCCGTCCCGCTCGCTCCCTCGTGCCTCTCGTTGCTGTGCCCTGGTTTTATGTGTTGCTCTGTTTTCTCTCCCCTTCTCGCCGACGCTCTCCTCGCACCCCCTCTCTCCCCGGCGCTGCCTCCGAAGCGACGCCAACCCCAGGTACCGTACGGGCCGGAGGAGGGACGCGGCGGGGCCCGCGCTGCCTCGCGCGCGCTCGCATGCCTTAGGGATAGCCCTTTCCGTGGGCATGGGAAGCTGCAGGAGCCTCCCCGGGGCAGGAGCAGCGAGAAGCAGGTGCCAAAAAGCAAAAGATCCCTGAGTAGGACTCGGTGCCTTCATCGGCCCTGGGACCCAGTGCGCCAAATTGCACCAGTCGCTGCAAGACGAAGGCCAGGTTGCCCTGTTAAACCCAGCTTTTAATTCCAGGGCCGCACAAACCCTCTCCGTGCACTCCCTGCCCTGCAAAACAAGCAGATTGGCAGCCCTGCCTGGCCCGTGGTGCCGGTCCCCATGCGGGCTGCACTAATTCCGCGCTGTTTTTGTGCATGGGAACATCCCCACCAGCACCCGCTGGGCTCCCGCGCTCCGTCCGATCCCTTCGCTTCCCGGTGCCCACGGAAAGGGTCAAGCGCGATGGTTGTGCTCGGCTCTGCATGCTGCATGCGAGGTGCTGCCCGGCTTCGCCCTCGGCCGCGTGGCTCCGAGAAACTGGGGCGGCAACATCCTGCCATCAGGGGATCCGGAATCCCAAATATCCGGAGTCTACACAGGTTATCCGGAGTCTCCACAACGTCCAAAGCACACGCACAGCTTCCCGTGTTGCCCAAAGGTCGCCCAGCTCTTAGGAAAGCGGCTCGCTGGCATTCCCGCTGCAGGACACATTTCTTTTTCCCATGGAGCAATAACTCAGCAGCTGTCACAGCCCTGTGCCAGCTCCGAAAGTGGTTTATGGGCAGCAGGGGGTATCAAATCCCTCCGAAATGCGCCCTTAGTGCTCTACCATGGAAAAGCATTTGGAGCAGCAGTATCCGTTTGCCCAATGCAGCAGAACCAACCCACACCTGTACCTTTTGCTTTCCTATTTCATGGATCTTTCTCCTTTTATTTTGTTGCCGTGATGCTTATTTATTCAATATTATTTTGCAAATTTTGCTTTCTGAATAGAGAGCAATCTTTTCCTTCTGTACTTTCTCCTCTTAAAAAAAAAAAAAGGGTAACAGATTGGTCTGCTCTGAGCGGTGGGAAGCTGAAAATGGACTCACGAAACCTTTTTGGTTTAGAGTTGTTCCCATGCTCCTTGTGTGCTGGTTTAGCTCCTAATTCCAGCCGAGTTTAGCTTAGCCACAAGAACCCCGATTTTCTCTGTGGGTCACAATCCGTTTCTAAAGTGTTTTTCCACTTTCTGTGGATGTTGCTGAACTTCAGAACTTCGAAAAAAAACCCCAGTCTTTTTGTCCTTCCAGCACAATATCAATTCAGGCATCATTTCCGCTGCTACCCAGATAAATACTTTGCCATTTAAAGGATAAGTTCTTTATATTCTGTAAGGATAGAGAGTATTGGTGTCTCCCCCTCCCCATTTTTTTTCAATTTCTCATAGGAGAAATAGCAAAGAGCAAGGATTTGCCAGAGCTGAAGGTAGTGTAAAGGTAGCAGGTGGAATGTTGCACCTCCAGCTCAGGCAGCGTTTGCAGGGCTGGATTCCAGCCATGGAAAGGCAGCTCAAGCCAGGAACAACCCTTATCCCAGCGCCGGCTCCAAGGGCATCTCCGGCTCCGACGCGGTGTCCGGGAAGGCAGCGCAGGGCCGGGGCCGTCTCAGCCTGACGAACGCGTGCAGGTTTCTGCTGAAATACTGCTTGACCCTTCCCTAAAGCCTCATCCCTGCTAAGTGACCTAGATTTGGTAGATTTTATGGATTCGTAGTGAAAGTTGTCTTAAACGGCACTAAAACACGCTTTGCCGCGGGCTGTTGGCACTAAAAAACGGCCCTTTTTTAAAAAATATTATTTTCCCTGGGGTAACTACAAGTGCAGAGCCATTGGTAGGTGCGTGAGAAATGGGACCAACCTGACGAAATCAGAGCAAAGTGCAAAGACTTTCCTGATGGAAGGCTGCGCGTTTCCTGGGCTAGGACTGGGCAGAAGGGCAGGCGACTCGGGCTAAAAGGTGATTTAGAAAAACGACTGGCCCTTGTGCTATGGAGACCAGAAATTCAGCCTGGGTCCCACACCACCAATGTGCATGGAAAAGCTTCATTTAGGGCCATAAATGGGTTTGGTCTTGGACTATAAGGAAAAAAAAAGGCAATGATTTGTTTGTTCTCTGCTCCCGTCTCGTCTCTCTATAATTAGGAAGCAGAGGAGAAAGATGCTATTGTTCATTTTTGAAAGGGACAGCAGTAGAAATGTAGGGAACTGCTGACCCCTCTCTTTTACAGGCTATTCAATCATTTCTTTCTATTTCTGAATTTCTTACAGTTATCAGATCTGGAACATTTTTTTTCTCTTTGTTAAAGACTTTACAGTTCCTTCTGTTGCTAAAAGCCAGGAGAGAAAGTCTCTGAAAATATATTTGGCTAAACATCAAATTTCATGAAATAATAATCAGATTCTCCAAGCCTAATTATATTGTAGGCACACCCAAGGGAAAGTCGTTACTACAGCCTAACAACACATTAAAAGCCCCATTAAATAATTAAAGAGCAGTATGGACACATATTGTTTCCTGCATTTTGCAACAAACAGCCAACTTCCAGACTGCTCCAGGCGGGACTTGGCCCCTCTCCCCATTTCATTCTTTAAATACCTCCGCTTTTGCTTTTGTGATATTTATGACGATTAATACATTTCTGGGAAGATGGGCTAGGAAGATGGGAGCAAGAGGATGGCAAATACGGTGGGTTTCCACCCTGGATTTGCTAAGGGTGCAGAGGCAGTTGCAAGTCTGCTGCATTAGACCCCCCTGCCCTGCAGGTTAAGCAGCAGCAGCCCCTTCCCAGCGGTGTCTCCTGCTCCCAGAGAGCAGAGGGGTTTTTCCTCCTCATCCTTCAAACAGGGCACCGGGTGCTCGTGCTTTAACTGCGCTTGAAGCCGCTGCTGCCCAAGGCCTCGAGTGAACCCATGCGTTGGGCATGCAGAAAAGGCAGCAAATTCACCAGCCGTGCAAGGCTGGGCAATACGTCAGTATTCCAGCTGCGCTCCGGGAAGGAGCCGCGCGGTTTTGGCACGGATGCGGCCGCTCGGAGAAGAGCAGTTGGTACCAGCAGCTCTGGGAGCGCCAGCCTGGACCAGGACCCCCAGCCTGGACCAGGACCCCCAGCCCTCCGCTTTGCATCCCAGGGACAGAGGCCTCACTAGCCCCCAGGTCCCCCGGGGCAGGTTGGCTCCAGTGCTGGTGCCGGTGGGCCCGGCTCCTTTGGAGATGCTGCCCTCCTGCCCATCAATCTCCCGGGACAGGGCGCCCTTTTCTTGCGGGGATGTCAGCAGCTCTGATCTTCTGTCTTGATCTTCCTCCCTCTGAAATCAGCTCTCGTTAGGGGACAGCTTTCAAAGAGCAGAAAATGCCCCTTATCTCCGCTCCCAGATCTACCAGCTGAGCTTTTCTTTCACATACATCCCACATTCAAAAGCAAATGAGGCTGCAGCTTTGAATCCCCATGCCCATTAGGGGCAGATTAGGCCTAAATCCTCCAAACCTGTGGGATTCCTGGCCACCCCAGGAGGGAGGTCCCGGCCCTGCCAGCATCTCCAGCTGCATTCCCAGCTTCCCTCTGCTCTTGATCTTCCTGGCCGTGCGGCACCACGCTGCTCCTGCTTCCTCCGGAGGCCACGGATCCCCCCTTTCCACTTGATCCTGCTCTGGTTTTATCCTCAGTGTAGACTCAAGCACCCCCTTTCCTCCTCCGGAGCCTCTCGGAGCAGCCGCGTTATCCTGATGCAATGTGATCGCCCCGCTCTTGGGGCTGGGCTGCAGTAGAGCTAGCGCAGGGTTATCGCCGTGTGGGCAAATCTTCCCTGTCATCACTGGGAATACAATCCAACATGAATCCAACCGTTGCTGAATAGGCTGTGGCATCCAGGAGGGTCTTCCCCCATCTCATACGCAAAGGTGATGCCCTAGGTGAGGGACAGCTGAGCTTTGACTTATCCCAGATAATCTCTTCCCATCTAGGGAGCGTTAAGGCTGAGCGTTTCCTTCTGCTCAAGCCATCACATCCATGGGAGTCTCTGCTGCAGACGGTCCTAGGCACCACATGGGAATGGGCCTGGGGTGTTGTAGAAGTGTTTCCACCAAATCCTGTCCTGAAACAAGCTGTTTCGTGCCTGCTTGGATCCCTTTTCCCTTGCAAGGGAGGTGCAGGGGGAAGCCCTGTACCCGTCAGCTCATCACGAGCTTCTGCTGTCACGTTCTGCACCAGAAACCTATTGCAAAGCTGCAGCTCGAGGGTTAATTGTGCTAATGGTGACAGAAACCACACCAGTCTCTCAGCCTCCAGAAAAATGCTCGGACTCAGCAATCGGGCGATAGTATCTCTCAACCCAAGGAAGGCTTTGGTAACTTAGAGCCTCAAGAGACAACAACTTATAGCCTCAAGAGACCGCAAACGCCCTGCTCGGTAACGGGGCGAAAGAGCCGTGCGGGCCAGTACGAGGAGCTGGGCTGTACCCCAAGGAGCAGGGCTGGGGGTCCCGCAGCCCCCTCGGGTGTTGTGGCACCGGGGACGGTGGCGGGACGAGGCGGGCGGCTTGCGCTCCGTGGCTGCGTCCTTGCATGAAGCTGGCTGCGATTGCCTGGTGGTCACCGTCGCGATGACGCGGAGAGGACCCTCTCCGGACACGCTGGGGCTTGTTCTGGTTACCCCCCGCTCGATACGTGCTGGTAACTGTGATTTCATTGCAGCTGCGCTGCAGATGGACTGGCCGACCTGCTGCTCCTCTCTGCCTCGGCATCTCTGGAAGGGGTGTGAGGGGCAGGGCCCCCTTGGCTCTCAGCTGCCTTAAATCCCCTCTATCCCTGAGCAATTTGCACCCTCTAAGGGAAACCCCTCATCTGATGCACCCCAACTGGAGCACTGGCTTGTTGCAGGGAAGGAGGAAGCCCCAGCTTTGTGCTGGGGCTTTTTTTTAGTGCTTTCTTGGAACTATTTTTGATGTGTGGGTGCAACTGCAAGAGCAGTTTCCATGTGCCTGCCCTGGGCACTTGTAATCTGTTGAGCTACAGTAAGGAAACACAAACTCTTGCCAGAACCACAGGGAGCATCTCAGCTCACTTAGCTGAGGCCATGGAGGCAGCTTTTTGGTTGAGTTTTCTGCTCGAGCTTTCTCGTGCTCTTTATTAATAGTGGTGGGGCTGAGGGTACCTATTTGTGGTCACTGAATCCGGAGGCTGCCCCAGGGCACCTGCAAGGCCGAGCACAAGCCAGTGCTGGTCCCTTGGGGATGAAGGCCCTGACCCAAACCAAAGACTATTAAGCCAAAATATATTTAAAAAAGGGATTTTCTACCTCCTTCCAGCAATGCGGCAGGGCATGAGGGCCAGGGAGGAGCGTGACAGGGAGCGGAGCAGTGGGAATGTCGCTCCGGGAGCTTGTGCTCCTCGGGGTCCCCGTTTGCAGCCGTGGGTCCACCCCGACGGGGATGCTGAGGAGATAAAAGCACCTCTAAAAAGCCAGTTTTGGCCTTTCCCTCTCCCAGCTGCCACGTCGTTGCCTCCGACGGCCATCAGCCCAACCGGCCCTCCAAATGCCACAACCATGGCCACCACCGCCGCCACAGCTACCACCAGCGCCACCACTACAGTCGCCACAACTACTACCACCACTACTACTACTACTACTACTACCACCACCATGGCCACCACCCTGGCCACCACCACCGTCGCCACCACCCCAGCCACAGCAGAGCGGGCGGCAGCCACCACCAAGCAGGAGCTGGGTACTTTCCTCTTTCCTCTAACCCCTATCCATGCTCCAAGCTTCCCGCAGAGCAAGGACTAGCAGCAGGCGAGGCAGGGAAAGGCTTCCCAGGGCACCAGCAAAGGCCGTGCGTGGAGCTGGAGGCAGCAAGGATGCAGGGATGAAGGGTCCCGGTGGTCCCGGAGGGTTTGGGCTCTGCTCCCTTTTGGGACATCCTCCTGGTCTCCGTCCCTCTGCCTGAGCCCCAGGGATGCTGCAGCCTCTCAGGGGGTGCTCAAGTCACGGGAGCATTTGGGAATGAGGTGGAGGACCCTACGGAAGCTCTTAGGAGGGTTGTCGTTGCACCGGCGCTTAGTGCTGTGAAAAGGGAGGGTTGTTATTAGGGAAGACGTCGCTTTGGATCTAGCACATCAGCTGGCAGCCAAGAGACCTGTCACCGCTCATAGGAGTCTTTTGCTCTTTGTAATGTAACCCAGCCATAGCCCACAGGAAAGCTGGGCAAGTGGATAAAATTACAGCACGCAGGTGTATTCCCGGGATTTATCAGGCCAAGATAACTTTAGCATGCAAGCAGCTAGAACAGGAGCCAACTTCTTTTTGGGAGAGGCGTATTCACTACTGTACATGATTTACTGGTAGATAGGGAGGAAAACACCTCTCTGAGCCCTGCTTTCGCATACGCTGCAATAACTGCAGTTAACAGATAATTACGTGGATAGTTATATTCAAGTTACTAATAAAGAAAGCCAATAACAGAATCAGCATAATCAGAAGACTTCAGCTTATGTAGCTGGATAGCATATGTTCCCCAACACAATTGCAAAAGCTACACAAATGCTTGTTATTTTTTAGTAAAGAGAGAAAGGAGTTAATAATAATGAATACCAGGGTTGACACCCACTTAACTCGAGGAATTTAAACCAGTTCAGCCCTCTTGCTTTACATTCTTACATAACATTAGCTCGGAATGGTTAAAAAAAAAATATGCAGGCAGGACCTGCCTCCATGTGAAAGGTACTCTGCAGTGAAAGAGGTTTGCGAATTAGCAGCACATTTCCTAGGCTGCACTAATTTGCTTAATAAAAGCTGCAGTGCTCAGGTGAGAAATGTCAATGTGCAGCTTGGAGCACCCCAGCGAGGTCCAGCCGGCACCGGCAAAGCGGCTCCGTTGCAAATAAGTAGAATCCGTGCAACGAATCCGTACCTTAACAAAATCAATTAAAAACTGGAGCTTATGCATAACTTGTTGGTAATGGAGCAGCTTTGCAAGAGTTCTCCTGTGACACCGTCACATTTAGCATGGGAAACTGTCCCAAAGCTGACAGTTCCCTGGGAAGGGGCACGGCCACAAACCAGGGAATGGGAACAGTAGGGTAAGACAGGGAGAAGCTAAAGCAGGGGAGGCAATGACAGGGGAGCAGTGTGTGTCCCAGGCCAGCCCGAGGACATGCGCAGAGAGCCCGAGCCATAATGCGGGCAGACAGGGAAGCAACGCGGCGAGCGCGCGTTGGGTCTGTGTGAGTGATTCTAGGTCAGGTTTTCTTGATCTTGCAGCACTGGGCTCTCCCTTGCAATTTCTTACAAGCCAGGTAGCTGCCCTCATTCCAGCAGCTGAAGCTACTAATCTGCATTTGGCCACGCCAAAAAGCTGAGGTTTAAACTGCTGAACTTTTAAAAAAAGGGCAAAAACCCCCAACAACAACAACAAACAGAAGGAAGCTAAGGTGCAATTTATTCCAAGTCACCTCTATGCACCCTAAGCTAGTGGCTTAGCTCTACTTTGCTCGAAATAGAAGTCAATCCACTCTCCAGAGCAATGTCGACTTTCCTCAACTTCAAAATCAGAACCGAGTGACTTCATTGCCCCGGTGGCTGCCTGGATGAAAATCCTCGTTCCCGGTCGGGGCCGTGCGCGCTCGTGCGTGCAGCGCTCGCGTTCCTCTGGGCACGGGTTTAGCCAGGCCATTTTCATACGGGCTGAACCACCGCAGCAGTCCTGAGACTTCAGTGCTAAACTGAGAGCAGCTGGACTTAAATACCAATATGAAGTGAGCTCTTGCTATGCAACTTCCCTCAAAAGTTAAGGATTCTATAACAAATAGGTGTTTCCTTAGGCATGGCCATACTCTAAATGTTAAGATGTTATCTTTAGGAATGATCCTGTAAGATTTTACCAACGCCAGGTGCTAGATGAGGTCTCGTTCGTGTCTAATCCAAAATACTAACTCCTGTTCTAACCTGTCCACCAGCCACCAATGGATCGTCCATATGGGACATAAGAGCTTTGGCTAATAGTAACTGGGCAAACATCACCTGGAGCCACAATTACTCTGCAGGAACTGACTTTGTGGTTAAGTATATCACCAGTAAGCATCAGATCGCGTGGGGACTCTACAGGGGGGCGATGCCATCAGAGATCCTGCCAGCTCCCAGCCCTCCAAACCAATCCCCAGGGCGCTCTGAAGTCCCGGGTGTTGAATGATGCTGTATGGGGCACACAGAGGACGAGAGAGGAATATTGATATGCAGGGGGACAAATCTTTAAGGAAAAGCAAATAAAACCTACAGAAATTGAGGAGAGTTTTAAAGACGGCACATGTCCAAAGGCCTTTTTGAACGTGGAGTTGGCAGAATCCTCTATGACCCCAAACCTCCTGGCGTAACAGATAGCAGGTGTCTCTTAAAACCTTAAGGCTGGACTTATTCTGGGAGCTCAAGCCAGTATCTCTCCTTTTAGTCCTTGTTTCAAAAAGCTGTTTTCATGCTGCTGGGGTGGTGTTTTGCTAATAGCCAGGCAGCAGCAAGCGCTGCTTATCTCTGACTTTAATTCCCAGCCATTTCAGCCCTCATACTGTCCGGTATGTTGGGCTGAAATAGGCATTTAAAAGAAACCAACTGCACAAAATTATTGGCATTGAACTGCTTTTGGTTGTTTACAACATTGATGAAGGCACCTTTGACCTAAAACCACTTCTCCTAAGGCCCAGACGATGCTTGTTCTCGCTCCCAAATCTCCAGCCTTCATTCAGCAAAGCAGCATCTGCTGCTCTCGGCCCCAGTGAGGGAGCGGGACCACCCGAATCCTCTCCCGCAACCCGGGGCGAGCGCGAAATCCCCTCTGCACCGCGGGGATTATAAACCCAGGCTGCTCTTCCACCCGCCGAGCCCACGCTCAGCACCATCTCCAGCCAAAAAAGGACCCAGGAGCAGGGAGTTCTCCTGAAGAGCTATCCATACGTTATTTACCAGTACTGCAAGCAGGGATGCAGCAAAAATGTATTTTTTACATTGCCGTTTCCCTTCTATTCCTGGTGAGGAACAATCCCGGAGCTGTTAGTAGCCCCCGGAGCATCGTGGTGTGTTATTCCTGCTCGGGACAGTGTCATGTATTGCCCGGTCGCCTCGGCAGCCCTCGGCTTGGGTTTGATGTGCGGTTTCTGTTCCTCAGGTAACAAGACCGAGAAATCAATCCCGGTTAAAGCTCAGACCCCTTCCTCTGTGCAGCTGGCTAATCTGACGCCCGGGATGATGTACAAGCTGTGGGTGTTCCCCATATGGTCTAGCCCCAGCGAGCACTCTTACATTACCTTTACGACAAGCTCAGGTGAGAGGGGGGATGTCGCAGCGCCCACGCATGTCACTCCATCCCGAGCGGTGTCACCGCCACTGCATGGACCGACCCCATCCCCGCGGGCCATCGGCTGCGCACGGGCAAAGGGACACGGCACCCGATGGAGCCGGTGCCATCGGAATGGGCTTTTAATGAGGGTACAGAGGGGTCCGTGTTGTCACACTGCTGCGCTGGCTGCTGCCGTGTCCCCCCATTGTCACTCGCGCGTCCCTTGTTGGCCCCCGTGTGGGGTCCGGGTGAGGGACGGTGCCGAGGGGACACCCACATTTGCACCAGGCCTTGGTGACAGTCACCTCCAACACACAGGGCCTTCCAGAAGGGCCAGGAATGTTTCCTCTGGCAACTTTGCATCTAATTACCCGAGCAATTTTCCAGTTCTATCACCTGAGTGATTTTTATAGCATCCTAATTACGGGCTTCCTACACTGCCCACCGAGTGCCGCAGAAATACCGACTTGCACAGGCACTGAATCAGGCTTTAGGTATTTATAAGGCTTCGCTGTTCACACTTGCTGAGTTTCAGTAAATCGAAATAGCTCTGACTTGCTCGGGATTCACTCAAGGGTTTCGCCATAGGAATTTATCCACGATGCCCGTCTAACATCTCTGCTTAAACATTTACCTGCCACCTCCGCGCCAAGCTACGCTGAAAATTATAGTAGCCCAGATAGGCTAAATGATTTTAAAGAGCTAAAATTTGCCAAGACCCAGGCATGTAAGAAGAGAAGACTTGGTTGTCCCAGGGATCCATGAAGCTTGGGAAATTCTAAAATTCTACTAGCCTTAAGCCTAAGAACAGCTTTTTTAGTGAAAAAGAAAAATACAGTAAAACTTCCTGTAATCTGCAGCATTTCTACATGAATAATCACTAAAACTAACCCAACAATCTGCTCTAGAAAAAAAATACATATGTTTTTGCTGATCTTTAGTCACTGGATTACAGTTGGATTTTTTTTATTGGCATATAGGCCATGACTATTAGATAACACGTGTTTTCTATCAAAAGATTATAATTAATTAAAAAGAAAACAGTTCCTGCAGTTGCTTCTAAATCAATACCTGTTCGATCACACAGCTGCTTTCTATTACTTCCCCTTGGCGCTGGCCTTACATTACAGCAAATCAAAACATCCTCCGTGACAGCCTTGCACTTAATCTTCTCCTTTTGAGCGCCGCAATGACAGTCATTCGTTTACTCTAAATACAAGATTGCCGCGGCTGTAATTTTGTCGTCATGAGTTGCTTTTTCGGGAAGGATGGCAATTATACCCCTACCTTGATGATGCGCAGGGCCACGATCCTGCTGCAAGATCCCCCAGCGACTTGGCGCTCAAGACGCTCCCTCCCATGCAAAACGCAGCCTCAGTCTGCACGAAACAACCCCCTCGGGCTGCTTTGGTGTCTGAAGAACCCCTCAATTCTGCCTTTTAAAGAAAACCTCCTGGCAGGACTGCTGATACAATCTGCCATTTCAAAGCTCTCCGGTGCAGCTTTATTCCTCTCTCCTTCCCGAGCGCTCAGTTAATTGAATCCAGTTCCCAGCCCCACTCTCAGGTAATCTCATTCTCTCCATTTTAAGTACATCTTCGAGGACTGGATAGCTCAGGTTGTATTAAAGGTAAATATTAAATGTGTTACAGTATTACAGGGAAAAGCAGCAAAAGGGCCAAACTATACAACCGACTTCTACCCTAGGAGGTTGGTACCTAAGGCTGCTTCTGCACTAGAAGTTCATGGCATGATGAAGATGATGAGGATGGTTTTTGCCTACAAGCCTTTGAAAAAAAAAATCTCACTCATGAATCTGGTGCCAGGCTACAGAGAAGGCAGAAACTGAAGACTAAAATGTTACTAAAAATGTTGTAAAAGGCAGTCAGTGCTGGGAGCATCAAGGGGGTAATTGAGGAGCCAGACCCTGGTGCGGAGGCCTCTGGATGTGGGATGGGGAGGCTGCAAAACTGCATCTGGTTGTAGCCTTCCTAAATAACGCTCCCCTCTCTGGCTTCTTAATATATTATCCTGTTTCTAAAAGCCAAGCAGAGGCACAGCGCGGGGCTGATGCTCCGTTACTGCTCCTCGTGCAGGATTTGGAGGTTTCTAAATCCAATTATCTGCCATTTCTCAGGCATGATGTGCTAACAGCACTCTGCAAAAGGACATTCAGAGACGGCTTGTCACTGCTTGTACTGTTCACAGCACCTCAGCTTAAACTGCTCCGATACACTGGGGTGGGGAAAATGCTCCTTCTTTCCTCATATGGTGACTAACAAGGGCACCCACTCAAATTCTGCAGCTGTGCTTGGAGCTGGCTTGCAGAGGAGCCCTGGGAAGGGCATTTTCACATCTGTTCTTGATGCAATACTGCCCTTGTGCAGTTCAGGAACTGTTAACCCAAGGATCATTCACTGGGGACAAGTGTTTCGCTGCTTGCAACAACCTGCACCTACACAGGACAGCAGCGTCTCACAACCGGCGTGGGTTGGAGGGGGTGGTTGACTTGGTTCACTTAAATAACTGAGCAATGAAACGCGATAAAACGGTAGCGTGGCCCTTTCCAGCATCCTGCAGCACTACAAACCAGAGTAGCCACGATCAGCTACGAGCAGCAGCAGCGATCTCGTTTGAAGTTGCTTTTTGTCACTTGAGCATCCATAAAAATAATGCTCCCTGCTCGGTATTTTCCATTTCAGGCAACCCCCTGCTAAGTCCCAGCTCCGTCCTGCCCAGTCAGAGCTCCCCTCGCTCCTGCCGGGAATACCGTGCTCTGTTTGCACTGCAGTCTGCTTAAATTAAGCCCCCCTGCTGCGCTGAAGGTTGTTTTCTCCTCTGCTCCGTCTTGCCGAATCCCATGTGCATGTCAATGAGAGCCAGGATATGGCAGCTTCTTGCTATTTATAGGACACGGATTTGTCCGTCTGACCGCGTAGGGATGCTGCAAATAACAACCCAGGGCACGAGCGGTTGAACATGGCAATCAGGAGTCGGGCAGGACTTTTCAGACCATGTCTTAACATTTTGGGACCCAGTTGTCCTTCGCCAAAGAGCTGCCACCAACCCGGGCTCTGCCAACGCCGCGTCCCCGCTCACGTTTTGGCCAAGTCTTGCTGGGTCTCCACATCTCCTTCCTCAGTCACCCAAGGTGACAAGAGATGCCCGCTGTGACAGTCTCCGTTGCCTTCAGTGCCACTTGTTGGCAATGCCCATCCACGTACCCAGGCTCACAAGCAGCAGCTACAGGCGGCCGAGCACCATCTCTGGCTTCTCCTAGTTTGAGGGGACAACTTTGGCCATGCTCATGCGCACACAAAAGGACACAACCTGCGGAGCTCTTCCTTCATCTCTGCCCCAGGCTCCCTGATGGACCCCAAGAATTAGGATTTCCCCCAGCTCAAGGCTGCTAATGAGCGCTGCAGAGCTCAGCAACCCTCTGGATTTAATGGTGCTCTCCTAGCCAATTTTATGCCAGTGGTTAAATCTTTTAGCCATTGCTCGGGCATGTTTATTCCTGCTCTTTGCACAGCAGCCATCTCCAGGGTAGATTTCAGACACTGGAAAGGAACGATCAAATCTGTTACCCAGCTTCTTTTGCCATTATTTTCAATGCATTTTTCTTATTGGTCTGTGCTAGGTTTTATTTTATGTTGTGACCCTTTGCTGTGTGTAGCTATTGCTCAAATGTTGCGTTGATATACCTTAAAAAAAGCCATAAACCAGGTTCCTGTAGGACACCCTCGGATAACCTGCCCAATACACCCCACACAAAAATACACTGCCTAAAACGCATCGTTTTAAACTGATGGACTGAGGTTTTCCTAGCAGTTTATTCCTCTCTGTTGTCTTGGTTTTTCCCCCATAGTTTATTTTTTTCCTTTCAACTTCCCCAGCTTACACCAAGAACCACGTGGACATCGCGACCCAAGGCTGGTTCATTGGGCTGATGTGTGCCATAGCCCTCCTGGTTCTCATTCTGCTCATCGTGTGCTTCATTAAGAGAAGCAGAGGTGGAAAATACCCCGGTAAGACCCTACACAGCAATTTTTATGCTTGTGGTTTAAACTTTTCCAGGCTTCCAGGAGCTAATCAAATTGTATTGCTCTCAGATAGATGCTTCTGATTAAAAAGGCTTTTCTTCCTCCCTAGAACGAACACTATTATTAGTGGAAAGCCTTTCAGTTAATTAAAGATTGGCGAGTTCTCTGTGCTATGCAGGAGGCAGGATAGAGAGCCGGGCGCTCCTGTTCTGCCTGACCTGACACCTGCTCTGCACATTTGCTTATCCTCTCCTAGAAAAAGCCCTTTTCTGGCAAAAACCTCATTAAATTTTTGCAAAGCAAAGATAAGGCATTTTAGGAACATTCATCAATTAACACATCCTCTCTAGCCACCTTGAGTTCTCGGGCCTTGGTGCCTCTATCATTTATCCTGTTTTTTTTTATCATAAATGTTGTGCTTGCTTACACAGTGCGAGATAACAAAGACGAGCACCTCAATCCTGAGGACAAGAACGTAGAAGACGGGTCATTTGACTACAGGTAGGTCCCCACGTGGCATGTGCATCCATGCGACCCTCCTGCCCCATCCGCCCCGCTCTGCAGCCATCACAGACCTCACTGCTGCCCCCTCTCCCCATAACCCTCATGCCGAGGTGCCCCATTCCGTCCTGGAAGGTTTTTCTCCCACCTTCCTCCTCCTGCCTCCTTCTCTCAGCAGGTTCTCCACCAAAGGGAACATTTCCTATCTAAAATCCGGGAAAAGTAACCTTTTGCTATGCTGGTTTCCTTCTTTCCCTGTCCCTCCTCTTGGGAGGATCTGTCCAGGCAGGGACATGGGACTGACAGCAGCTGCTTGGGACACAGCTCTCACCAGGTTCACATCAACCTGAACGATGCACACACTCGACCCTGAAGCTGCCAGAGGCTATTTCAAGTATATAACCCTATAGCTCAGCCTCTCTCCTAGTCGTAAGGCACAGAAACATCCAAAGTAATGCTTAAATCAGCCCCAAAAGCACATGAGGGTATTTATTTAGGGGTCCGGGTCTAGGTTTTTTTGCAAGGTGCTCTTCGGGGCAGCGCAGCCCGGTGTTCTGCTGTGACAGCTCTGCTTTCACCACCATCTCATCAACCTCTTTCAAGCAAAATGATGTCCCTTGAAGGACAGCATCTGCTCTTCCTCCAGCCTCCCCAAATACCTCAAACCAAGTGTTCTCCAGGCCCGCTCACTTCCAGTGCCGCAGTCACCATCCTCTTTATCTCCTTGTTGCTTCCACGGAACACAAAGAGGTAAAGGTGTTGGATCCATGCTTGGCTGATGACTGGGATGGATATACCCGGTTTCAGCACCTACAGTGCACTTTGCTTTTCTTTAAGAAATTACAATGCATCTTTCCGCCCGAGCTGAATCCAAAGCCCAATTAGACTGGGAAGTGTTTATCTCCTGACTTCAAAGCAGAGGTTAATTAAACCGTATGTCATTACCAGTACTCCTAGCACTATAAATCGACATAGCAAAGACGGGAAGGATTTATTTACAATTCAGAAGAGATGCAATAAGCCACACATGCTCCACCAAAGACTTCAGAATGAGCAAAGTGAATATATCTGCCTGCGCCCTACGATATAAAGGAAAGTTAGAATAACTGCATTCTTCAGGATGTCATGTTTATATCATTAGCAGCAGTGTAATTACATTGCAGCAGTGACTGTTTTTCTCCAAAGGATGCCATAAGCCAAAGCTCCCCAGTTTTCTCCAAGGCCTGGGAAACGATGCAGACTACAGATAAATCCCAGTGAGGAGCAACATAAGCGGCACATTCTAGGAAAAGGATGCCATTCCTCATCGCCCTGACACAACATGCCAGGGCTGGAACTCCTTCTCCTTCCCTGCTACATTCAGTTATTGCTCTTCGTGGTGACAAGTCGCACTGGGAGCCTCGGAGCAGGGCCCCAAGCCCAGCTGGATGGGAAGGGGCATCTCTCCATGTGCATGGAGGAGCGGGAGCCCCGGAGCCAGGGATGGCCCCGGAGCGCAGGACACGTCTGCCTGTCTGCTCCTTGTCACCAGACCCATGGGGAATGCGGAAGGGTGTTTCCAGCACAATAATTACAAGGGAGAGAGATGCTTTATTGGTCACCTTACAGCCTAGCAGCACACCGCACTGCAGGGTCCTTCCAGCACCTGGATAGGCAGAGGGAAGCCGAGCTCCGAGCACGGCTTTCGCCTGGAAGCGCAATGGGATGAGCTCAGGAATGCTGCTCCTGCTGCCCAAAGCAGCTAAGCCACAGTGCATTGGGAATGGCATGGGAATGCTTTTGCCTATGACCTAGTGGCTCCCGCTTAGCTGAAGTCCAAACGTTTATTGACAACCTCATTCCCAAGAGCTGGAATGCTAAAGACAGAAGCCAGAAGAAAGGTGAAAACAGGCAACTTGGATCCCATTCATATACGAATAACCAACATTTCTGAGCACCAGGGATGTGGGGGGTCATTATCCACAGGTGTGAGCTCTTTGCCACCTTCCTGATGGTGGATATGACCTTTAGGGAAGGCCTCTCTAGCTACAGAACTGGGGCAGAGCTTGTACCACACTCCAGAATACCCTAGTGTTTTCAATCACGCTGTCCCATGGACTACCTGGAGGGGAAAAAAAAGGCAAAAACATGAAACAAAAACCAGGACGAAACAAAAAAATCTCTCCCCGCTCCCTCCCAGGATCAACAGGCTTCCTGGGAGAAGGGATAGGAAGGAGGCTTCCCTCAAGGAGGCAGAAAGGAAGGTGAACTTGAAGGATGGATACGAACGCTGTTGGCTGATTAAGATTCAAAATGATTGCAGTGTTAAACTCGAGGAAGGCAGCAATTAGTATTTCAAGCAAGGACAGGATCTGAGCTGACGTGAGCTCGTCACCGGTCCCCTTCCCCACCTCCACATAGCATGTCTGATGTGCTCTCATCATATCTCCCGTCCTTAATGCCCTGTGCATGCAACTTTCCGATCTCTGCAGCCTATAATTAGGAGACACTGTCACATCTTTCTGTCCCACTAACAGAATAATGGTTTGCCCGGGCAGAGGCTAAGCTGCAAAGCTTCTTTTCGAAGCAGGGGACCATTATCCTTGGACAATGTTCTGTGCCAGTGACTGTGCCTCATTATACCAAATGTTCAAGCACGTGGGGGAGCCAGCTGGGAACGTGGGCCGCCGGGATGGGAAAGTTGGGGGTTTTTTACCTTCCGGGCTCCGGTTCAGGCCCAATTCAGACCGGCAGCCCCGGCCTACGTGGCCATCTCAGTAGAAAGCGAGAGCTAGATGGACCCTGGACACAGAGCCGAGCTCCGGAGCCACGCGGGCAGGAGCAGCCTTGGCATTGGGATTGCCGGGGCCCTCGTGCACCAGCGCTGGGTCGAGAGGAAGACCCGGCAGCGGGATGAAGGCCGAGGGGGCTCCGGAGCTCGGCTCCATCCCAGCTCGCCCTGGTTAACACGCGGCCGGTCCCACCGCGCGCCCCGATCCACCTCCCCGCTCCATTTGGTATAACGAGGCAAGCAGCTCCACGAGGAATGCAGTGACTACTATTTTTTTCTTTCCCTCCCTTCCCTTTTTTAATTTTTTCTTTTGGAAAAGCACTGCCCCTGTAAATGCATACCTCGTCATATCTCTCTCTGATCAGGCTCTTTCTGCTTCTCTCTGTTTTATTCCCATTCTTTCTTCTCCTTTTCACCTGGTCTATCCACATGGACCATGAAGGTCTCTTGAAAGGTAGGACCACGTGCTGCCAGAAGTCCGGCACATTTAGCTTTTTTTTCTTTTTATTTTTTCCTCCTTCCTTCTAGCAGTTTGTTTCTCTCATAGCTGAAAATATCTTCCCCTCCCTCTCCCCGTTCCTACCTAACACATTAAACGAGATCCGTCTAACTCGCGCTGACACCGGCTCCCATGCCCGGCGAGTTGCGTTTTGCTTGGAAATGCTGGGAATGCTCCTCCGAGCAGCAGCCAGAGCCCATTCCCGGCACAGGGATGAGTCCCGGGGCCGCTCGCGGGTCGGTGGCCGGGGCAGATGCAGGAGTGCAGCTGCGTTTCCCTTCCCGGCTGGTTTTGACGCGGGTGCTCTGGTTTTCTAACGCCCACATCACCAAACCCTATAGAAATCCCTTTTAACGGGGTTGAATCGCATCAACCTGCTGCCGACCACCTGCTTCAGCCTCTTAATGCACTAACAGGACAAACAGTGATGGAGAGGGGTAAAACCAGGGGCAGGTTTGGGAAATTCACTGGTGTCCAGCACTGTAGTCCCCCCATTAGAGAGAATTTGGCTCTAGATTCAGCTTCACCTAAACCCACTCCAAGCCTTGAGAAAGGACCTTTCAGACAAAAACATCTGGGTTTTGCCACTCTCTGCTCGACATTTCTGGGCCTTTCTAACCAGCAGTCCTGCTTGCAGACTGATTCTCTCCCCCTCCCCAAAAGGAGCTGCTTACAAAGCTAACGAGTTAATTTTTATTGCGATGCCAAGTTAACACAAGCCCCCAAATATCAGTTTTGTATTAGTACTTAATTTACAAAGTGCTGATGCACCAAAACATGACCAAAAGCTGCGAGTTTTACCATGGGGCACCAAACTCCCCTGCGGTCCAAGCGAGGGGCTGCTCTGCCACAAATACAACCAAAAGTGGCCGGTACTTTGACGGATTTTAAGAAAAATAAAGAACCAAGGAGCGTGCCATACCAGGGAGCAACTTTTGCAAGTCCTGAGCTTAAAAAAAAGGAAAGAAAAATGAAAGAGCGGGTGGGGAGAACGTTCGAGTGGGTACGTGACGTCTTGAGGAGTATTGCCCAGTTTGCATGCTGGATGTAAGATCAAACATGAGCTAATAACTAGCTGATACAAAAATCAGGTTTTATATAGAGTAATCCACTCTCATCCTCAGTGCAAGGTCATCTTTATGAAAGTCCTTACCCTCCCTAGAAAACACAGATTCTCCCCATTTTTTTGTTAAAAGGGTTTCTTTAAAGGGTTGATTTTTTGGGGGGGGTCAAACTATGTATTTTTTTTCAGTGACCTGGCTTAATCTTTTCCAATAAAAAAAGGATAAAAGGGAAACAAATTGAACAAACAAGCTTAGATGCTCAGAAATAAGCTTGGAAAGGTAAATTTTCATTTTGGAGTTTTGGAAGCTGCAGAGAACTTGGCATCCTATATATGCCCCCTTGCAGTGCTTTGAAAACCTTCCCCATTGCATGCAGCTATCTAAAGTAGACAGTGTGTTTTTACATGGAAATCTGAAATCCAACCTCAGTAAAGAGTGGAATGGGCTGGCTAAAACACTGACAGAAAGAAAAGAGTGGCAAGAAAAGGAAGGGATATTTATAATGTACATCCAGTTGGACTGATCTAAGCATCACCCACGATGCTGCTTAATGCAAACCAGAGTACAAATACGAAAGTAGAAATACCAAAGTACAGACACAAAGCCCGAAGGCTGGGTTTCCAGAAACACCAACCCAATTGCACAGGCACCCGTGGGCCTCCTGCACGGAGGCCGTTCCCAGCTCCCCATCAGCATCGTACCCACCACGATGGCTTTTTGCAGCCACCGAGCTGCTTTTCGCCCGCATTGGCAGCCCCTGCTCGGCATATTTGCCCCCTGGATCGCTTCTGAATATCCAGCCCTCGGCTTTTAAGCGTGTCCCTCGCAAGCCCCGTTCTCAACTGTCCCCTGTGTCTGTCTGTCTTGTGCTACCCAGCGATGAAGACAACAAGCCCCTGCCCAACAGCCAGACCTCCTTGGACGGCACCATCAAGCAGCAGGAGAGCGACGATAGTTTGGTGGACTATGGAGAGGGGGGCGAGGGGCAGTTTAACGAGGACGGCTCCTTTATCGGCCAGTACACGGTGAAGAAGGACAAGGAGGAGACGGAAGGCAACGAGAGCTCGGAAGCCACCTCCCCGGTCAACGCTATCTACTCGTTGGCATAGCGCTATATATATATGTTATATATATGTATATGCGAAACCACAAGCGACCTAAGAGATATGTAGTGGATGGGGGTTAGACAACAGCCGCCGCCACCACCGCCTCCAACGGAAACGTGCGAACGAGACAAACCAATAATGACAAAAAAAAATAGAAAAAAATAAGAAAAAAATAAGAAAAAAAATCCAAGCTAACGGGCTGCCGCGGCCGCCTCCTCCTTAGGA